ATTTCGGCTTGAAACGTTGCCGGTGCGTTGGTGAGTCCGAACGGCATGACCAAATACTCGTACGATCCGTACCGAGTTCGGAAAGCAGTTTTGTGGATAGAGTTGTCCGCCATCCGTATCTGCCAGTATCCGGACCGCAGATCTAGTTTGGAAAATACCGTAGCTCCCCGAAGCTGGTCAAGCAGGTCATCGATTCGCGGTATCGGATATTTATTCTTGATGGTCTGCTTGTTAAGAGCTCGGTAGTCGATGCACATGCGCAGGCTTCCGTCCGGTTTCGGTGTGAAGAGTACTGGGGCACCGTACGGCGAAGTGGATGGTCGGATGAGTCCTTTAGCTAGGAGATACTCAATCTGCTTCTTCATGTCGGTCAGCTCCGTAGGGCTGAGTCGATATGGTGCTCGGAAGGTCGGCTTCGAACCCGGTTCCTCCACGATCTCATGTTGATGCGTTCGGTATGGCGGTAGCTCGTTCGGAAGATCGTCAGGAAGAATGTCTTGGAACTCCTTCAGTAATTCCTTGATTTTTTCTGGAGTCTCCGAGGCTTTCTCTCCGTCATTCTCCACCTCTGTTGCTATCGCCAGGAACCCGGTGTCGGTCTGCTTCATGTCCTTCTCGAATCGTGCGAGTGTCTCCACTGGGATATCTCCAGTATCGTCCCAGCTAGGTAGCTGTACTCTCCGTCCATTGTTGTAGATGCTTGCGGTGTGGTTCACCCAGTTGATCTCGGGGTTGAATTTTTTCAGGAAGTCTCGCCCGAAGATCAAGTCAAGCCCTTTGATGTTGGTGATGGGGAGTGCAGGTCTCCAGCGCAGTGGTCCAATTTGTAGATGTAGCACTGCTTCGCCGTGTACTGGTAACTTGCTGCCGTCCACCATCGTTGCAGAGAATCCTGAAGGCTTGTACTCTTCCCGAAGTCGGTCGATCATTGCCTTGTCGCAGACGGTGTGTGACGCTCCGCTGTCCACGAGTGCTTGGAGGCGTCGTCCTTTGCAGATGACCTCGAGCACGAGGGGCAGTCGTTGCTCGGAGTACCCAAAGATAGTTTCATTGATTGGGTCATAGGGTACATCCCAATATTCCGTACACACCTTTGTGTTGCTGTCTACTCCTGAGTTGGCAGCTGGCCGAGGCTGCTTGGAGAACGGCTCTTCTCCAGGGCCCGGAGTTTCTTTGACGACTGTGCGCGTCACTGATGCCGAAGAACTGGATGCATCCGTAGGAGGAGTTCGGGGTTTGTGCAGCTTCTTGTAGACCCCCAGCTTCCTCTTGAGCTGCTTCAGCTCCACCGACGTCTTCCCTGGGGAGCGGGTAGTCGTTGTGGGCTGGTGTCGGGAGAGGACGTTGACTCCATGGAAAGGTCGGCTTCTTTCCACACTCCTTAATTTGGTCCCCAGGTTGTCCGGTACCGGTATAATCTCCACAGTTGTCTGCTTCTTTTGGAGTCCCTCCCGAAATTTCTCCAAGGCTCTAGCCCCTCGAAAATCATAAGTTTTCATTAAAGCATCTTTATAAGATAACTTTAACGAATTCTTATAATTTCTTGGGTCTTCAAGGAGTTTCCCTGTCTCGGCAGAGTCTTTTTTCGCGGAGTCGCATTTTTCCTCGGCGATTTTCCCTGGCGAAGACTGGTCGTGGGGTGGAGATTTTCCCCCATCATTTCCTCCTTCTCGCGTCGAATCAGCTTCGTCGAAGTTGATTTTCCCGGAATCCCGCGGCCGTTTCCGGATCTTTTTATTTTCGCCTGCTAGATCCGCAATCACTGGCGACTCCCGTTTTTTGTCTTCTGATTGGCCGAAAGAATTCCGCCACTGTTGCGTGCCCGATACTCTGCGCGTGCGGTCTTCATTTTGTTACAGTCGAAGATTCGATGACCCGGCACCCCGCAAAAATCACACGTGTAGTTGGTGTTTTTCGGACGTGGCCGCCCCTCGAATCTGTCGACTTCCATCGGGTCGGCGAACGTGGGGTGAGCCGAGCGGTCGCCCTGTCGCGTACTGCCGACGTGCGTCCGTCGTGTTCCGGCGTTGACCATGTCGAAGCGCTCCGCTGCCGAAACGACGTCACTGTAGCTCGCGTAGTTTGACGCTGCGACTTGTCGTTTGACTTCGGTCTTCAGCCCGGCGAGGTACGATTGTACTTTTTCCCCTTCGGTCAGGTCGGGAATGCGGTTATAAAATTCCTCCATCTGCTGCGTGTACTGCGCTACACTCCCGAACTGTCGGTGTCGATGAATTTTTTCGCGGGCAAGGAAACCTGAATTTATCGGCTCGAATCGTTTGAGCAGGTCGGCGCGGAACTGCTGCCACGTGGCTTCACCGTGGATGAAAGTACTGTTGCCGCCAATCCACTCGAGTGCCGGCCCTCACATCAGTGTCGCCGCGAGTCGTACGCGTTGACCGTCCCAGACTGGCGAGCTCCATCCGACGGCTGCGAAGTAGATCTCCATCCCGGCGATCCATCTGCGGGCGTCGGAGTTTCGATCGCTCGGATCGAACGACTCAGGTGGGCGCGGTTTCGGAGCCTCGAGAAACTGCTGCGACTGCTGCGTCGTCGCCGTTGTCGTCTCATGCTGCGCTCCGGCGAGTCGAGTTACTCGCTCGAACTGGTTTCGCCACGCTTCGCGATCCGCTCGCATTTCCTCCTGAAGGGCTGCGATGCGCGCGAAGAGCTGCTGGGTAACCTCGGCGTTGTCGAAGGTTGCCATCCTGTTCAAAACACGCACGGAGGGGGTAATTCGAAAATCGCGGAGCTGGTGCTTACCAGAATCGGCGTCGAATTGGGCGCCCCCGGCGGTTTTTCGAGGCAGGATCCCCGCTGCTGCTGCTTAGCTGAGCGCGGCCGAGTGAGAAAAGCTCTGATTGCCAAGTGTCACAGGATCGAATGTGTCGAGGAAAGGTTGCACTATCGATCAGTACAAGGCGCTTTTATACTTCCAGAGTACATCAGGTAACCAGGTTTTGTCTTATCCTAAGGGAATAGACCCTTCTAGAAGATAGAATCACCCTGCGTATAGCCACGCGAGGCTATTGGCTTTAAGGGATTACGGCAGGATTACGCTAGATAGTGCACACCAATACATCCCAAGCCTGGTCGGTGATATAATGATAATAGCAGGATAAACCAAAGGTTAATGGAAAAGGAAGAATAGGAAACCAATTGAGATGCAGTAAAAAGAGAAATGAAAAGGGAAGGAAATAAGAAAAGGCCAAGTGGTGTAACGGGGTCGTACTCTCACAGGTATGGTGTTTGAGTGCCAGAATCCATCAGGGTCGAAGTCGGGGTCAAGATCCGGCGGGTGTGTCCAGGCGGCGAACGACACGATTCCGTCGCTGTCGGCAGTACCGCGGTCGGGGACGAAATCCAACACGAAGACGCCGGACTTCAGGAGAGCGCGACCGATGAAGAGACCGCCCTTCCGGTGGTAAAGGCGAAACTCGTTGGAGTAGGAGTCGCACTCCAGGTGAATCTTTTTTGCCATTAGCTGGCTGACGCTTAGTAAGTTGTTTCCCAAGTTGTCGACGATGAGGACCTTGTTGAGTTGAAGTATAACGTTTGTCTCTTTGGATTGTAATTGAACCACTCCTTGTCTGTTTGTTTTCAGGTTTTCGTTGTTGGCGACGGTGATGATGACGTCGCGGGTGAGGCGTCGCTACCGTTGCACGAAGCGTCCGGAAGAGCACATGTGTTGACCGCAGCAGCTGTCCAAGAACCAGGTGTTTCGCCCGGTGGGTTCGGCGTTGGCGACCGCAGCGTATGTCGGGTTGACCTCAAGTCCTTGTGAGCGCGGCGGCGGAAGTTCTTCTTCGTCTGGTGCGTAAGTGGGTGGTGATCCGGGTGCGCAGTTATCGATGTATACCATGCAGTTAATGATGTTCGGTGTCCCTTGTGCAGATGTGGAAGAGCGCCTTGGAGGGCTTTCTTGAGTGGAGGCGACGTGAGGGTCTACTGGACGATAAACACGAGGACAAGTGCAGTTGACTTTGGAATGTCCGGAAGTCTGACAGTTGTGGCAGAACGGTGGCACGAAGGTGAGTCCTCTGTTGTCGCGTTGATCTTGTTTGCCACGTCGATTGTAGTTGTTGTCGTTCCTTCGTTGAGTGTAGAAAACTGACTGCTGCTGCTTCCTTGGTTGTCTTTCTTCGAACAGGTCCATCTCCTGTTGTTCAGCGTGAAGCTCGGCGCAGAGGTGCATCTCCGATATCCTTCCGTGGGCGCGAAGAAGCGAACGTGTGGTTCTCCATTCTGGCCCGAGCCCGGCGAGGACAAGCGTCACGAAGCTTTCTTCAGTGAATGTTCCTCCACACCGAAGCAGGCGGTCGCGGAGGGTCTGGCAGCGACTCACATATTGCATCGCCTTTTCCCCGGTCTTCATCTGTATTGTTGTCAGTTGTTGCATGAGTCTGCTTTGTGTCACGCTGTCGTTTGCTTGATAGAGACACTTGAGATGATGCCATGCGAGTTCCGCGGAGTTTCCATAGCTGCGATATGTTCTGATGCTCTGCTGTTCTTGTGGTGACAGGTTCCGCAGGAGAACTGTATACGCCTGCAGCGACTGATAAGTAAATATTTCTTTGCAGTGCCGTTGCTTGGGAATGGCAGGGACCCGTTGAAGTATCCCAAGAGATGCGCAGCCTCCATCAGCAGCTCGAACTCAAAGCTCCAGGTAAAGAAATCGTGTCCGTTGAATGGTGAGGATGTCTGCAGTTTAATCACGTGTGAAAACTGCGCTTGGAGACTTAAGATCTCGTTTGGTGTTTGTTGTGATGCAGCTGCTGTTGGTTGGGCATGGGGCGGCATGAACTCAAATGTCCCCCGTGAAGAGTGATAAGGCGCAAAGGTAGGCACTTGATTGTGTCGCCCGAACGATGAGTTGTCGAGGCTCATCGGCGCTAATCCCATGTTCCCTCCGTTGCTTTGTGTTGAATGTGCAGGCGTCCTTGTCTGCTGCTGCTGATCGAAGTGTGACATGAAGCTGAAGAACCTTTCCATAAGGTTCGGATCCACGCTTGAAGAGGGTGATGGGGTCACCATTTCCGGTGTTCTTCCTGTTGTTTCTTGAGCAGCGCCGGTCTCGGTTTGCAGTCCTGAAGTATGCAATCCAGAGTTGCCGGGTTGAATGTCTTGGGCGCTGGGTGAGCCCGTAGAGATTTTCTTGCCCTTGCTGTCCATGACTTGTAATCAATGAAGTCGTTGAATTGCAGATTGTAGATAGAGCATAGTTGCTGGGAGTTTGGTCTCTGACCAGCTCTCATACCATGTTGGGCTGAGAAAAGCCCTTAGGATCTTTCCAGAGACTAAGTCCCAGTTGAAGATTGAGACTTGAGTAGTGCAGCGGAAGTTGAGTAGTTGAACCCTTGTACTAGTATATGAGAACAAGTGATTGATTAAAAGAACAAGCATACAGCAATATATAGAAAGTAGGAAAGTAAAGCAGTTGTCGAATACAGTTGCAGGAGCGGTTATCGAGTCGCACAGTGACTCGATTGTCGCTTCGATTACCATCCGCGCTGTTGTAATGGTCAGTCGCAACCTCCAGTTGCGACCCTTCGAGTCCCTTCGCGTTCTTTGTTCGCCCCCTCGTGTAACCTCCGTTGACTCGCGTACCCGTTGCGATCTTCCTCGAGTGTAGTGTTACACTTCAGAAACGCTTAAGTCCTTTGAGATATTTCCAACAAGGAAAAATCTCCGACTCGTAGCCTTCAATGAGAATCTTCACATTACGGGACATTTTGAAGCCAGCAGGGGCAGCAGGTTCCCAGATAGCCACATCCCCATTGTCATACATTTCCTTGATCATAGCAACAACGTGCTGGATCTTCACCTGGACGTTCTCCTAGTTCACCATCTCTGATGCGTCAAGAGACGGATTGAGCCGGCCCCTGGCATTGGCCAGAGGCCATTCGACCTGCGCAAGAGAAACAAGGGCATAATACATTAGACTAGGCAGTCATTTGAAACCTGAGAAGCTTGGAACAGCATAGAAAGAAATGTAATTACCACGTTCAGGGCATAGCCAACCATCGGGATTTTAACTGTGATGGTGCTCGCCTTCTTGTTGCCAAAGCCGCGCAGCAGGACGAGCTCCAAGCTGCGATTGGCGAGATAGCGGCCGCCAGTCACCACATGCCATTTTGAGCCGTAAACGGCTGGAAAGGGGGGGGGGGGGGGGGGGGGGGGGGGGGGGCGGGGGGGGAGAGATGCGAAGGAAAGAGTTAAATGTTGCATGGGCGTCCGAGCTCAGAGAGATATGGCAAGAGCAGCTTATGCAGGCGGATCTAAACTTACGATGCATGTGGTGCAGAGTCCACTCCATCGGCGACCTGCTGAAGGTGGGTGCCACGCCCTCCTCTGCCAGCTCCTTCCACTTCGTCTCGGGCACGCAACCCCCGGGCCCTCGACCGTACAGCTTGATGTCAGCGTTGTAGTTACTCCTCTTCTCTGAAATCTTCCTCATCGCAATGTTCTCCTTGCCCGGGTTGTTGACATGACGTAGTAGAAGATGTCCTTGCTTACGCCCATCTCCGCGAACTTGTCAGACATTGCTTCCCGGTGCTCAGCCCATGACGAGTAGAACCTCATCGGCCAGGCTGGGGCGGAGTTAGTTTGGTATGTGTAGGTTTCCAATGACTTTTTCTGAAAAGCACAGCATGGGATCAGCATGAGTAAAAAATACAGAGATATCAGTAAGAGAGCATTTGAGGGTGTTTAAAACCAAGCAGATGCTAATAAGACAACGCGTCAAAGATATTACGTATGGGGTTAAGAGAAATGGGTTGAAACCTACCGCGAAAAGGTGGTCCTGCTCAAGAGACGCGGGAACGACGACACAACCGTTGGCATCTCGCGGAAGCGCGTTGAGATCGTACGTGGGGTGCAACGCTGTCGACACCAGGGCTCTCTGCATGTCGCCAGTGTTCACCAGCTGTTGGCGCAGAGCGAGCACGAGCTGAGTCTGCTCATCGTAGTGCAGGGATAACGCGGCGTACTCGGCCTCCTTCGCCTCGAGCGCCAATGTCAAGTCGAGACCGCGCTCTTGCGTGGCGAGAAGAGTTGCATTCAGATCAGCGATTTCCGAGCGCAGTCGCATCGCCTCTTGCGTACGTGCAGGCGCGACCTCTGGGTAATAAGGTAAGACGATACGGATAAGAAATAGTGGAGACACAAGTTCGTGTAAAAAAAAAGTTGCAGGGTATAGGGGTGGTCGTACCCCATGATAACTTTGCTTGCGAAAAGCTATGGAAAGTTGACAAAATACGGAAACGGATATCATTAAAACGATAAAAACGGTGAGGAGGCAACGGGTCTCCACGAGTACGCTAAGGGAGAAAACGGTTTACCAGTTCGCCCCTTAACAGGTACGGCCAAGCCGTGAGCGGTGATGACTGTCGGCAGCACACTCTCGGGAGGAACGCCATCGGCGGTGTGTTCTAGTGGCTCAGTCAAATCGAGAGGGGCGGAGGTTCCTGGATGTGGAAGAGGAAGCGTTGCAGTAGATGCTGTGTGGGCAGTCTGACCAGCTATCGAGGAGGAGTTCGCTAGCACCGCGGTCATTTCCGCTTGTTTCTGTTTCTTGCGGAAGTTGGGTGGCAGGACGAACCCTTGGGCCTTCAGATATGTCGCCATCGCCAGGTACTCGTCGAGCTGGTCGCAGTCGTCGTCGCACGACTGATCATGCACCAGTCGTCCTCCTGGCGCCAACGTGTCCACCTGCGACTCTGACTGTTGCCCATAGGTCCGTTTCCCGCCGCACGAAGTACCTTCAATGCCCTCCATACTGCAGGGGTTGCGATTGAAAAAAAAGTCGCAGGCGACGAGAAGTGGTCGTAAACTGAGGGCCTTTTCCCGCCTATTTAATGAATCGTTGGAAGGGCGACGCGAAAAAACAAAGATGGTCGGCGAATCAAACGGTGGCAGTGAACAATGTTTTGTTGGCACATTTCCAAAAGCTCCAGAACAGTATTATGGGAGCATCAAACTTGGCAAAGCTCGAGTTTGGTAAGGGAAACATGCACCCCGGAGAAAGTGCCAGTAAGCGAACCAGCAACCGATCCGCCTTGTGCAACTTTGGGAGACCCTGGCAATTATGACAGGTAACTGGAATGTATTTTCAGGAAATGCGAAATCTGGCACGCAATGGCCATCTGTCAGTCAGATAAAAGGTGGCTGCCTAACCGGGGTAGCTGTTCACATTCTTAACGCGTGGCATATATCATCCGGCAAACCACAATCCTCCGATTTTTATAATTTTGAATTCTGTGGACACGCGTCGCTTGGGTTGTACACCTAATTATACTTGGGTGGGGTTCATGTTGTGCTACGTGTACTATAGAGCGTGCCACTAAACATGCATAGATTTGGAAAGGACTTATTATTGAAAAAAGCCACATCAATTTTAGTGAAGAAGACTTCCTTCTAAATTAGTCAGCATGGTCGAAGTTTTTTTTACTTAGAACATAAACTTATTTTCTAGCCATGCATCTACGTCCGGCTTAATGCGTACAAGCTCCACTGCACGAAGAATGCTAGACATTTCGACGACCCGGTATCAGTCTGCCAATGGAGCCCAGTGTAGTTGAATGCAGCTCGTTTGCAGGTCAAAACAGCCATCCTCTGATAATATTTTATGAAGGCATATGGCATCAGATTCCGCCCAATACGCAGCTGGAATATTATGCGACATTGGGCATACCACTCCTCCAAGCCTTCATCCGTCTCTCCCTTCACAGCAACATTGGAGTACCAAGGCCTCCCATAAAATTGGGCCATCGCACGAATGGTATGCGGAAGCCGACTGAATTCTGCGTCAAATGCGGCTCGTATTGCAACGCTGTTGTGCACCTGCAGAGGTTTTGGGAGAGTTAAAATGATTTAATTAAAGGGGATATGTGTAAGAATTGCATGCCCTGGTACTACAGACAGATGGGAAAAACACAGTGGGGAGGAACGCAGAAAGAGAGGGAATGGAGATAGGCGCGGAATGTGGAAGTCAGTGAGGGCCATGACAAAATTTCTAGCATTGTTACATATTTTTGTACAAGCTATACTTACATGTACTGTGTCGATAGTTGTTCCCGCACATGCAGGGGCTGCATTCAATGCCCGACGAAGGTGGGGCAGGTCTGCTGCAAGCGACGCCATGAACTCAACATCGCGGATTGAGTCTGGAGTTAGTGGGACGATGAAGGGTGGCTCGCGACGGCGTGCTGGGACGAGTATGCGCCAACTATCTCTGGACAACACACGATGTCCTGTGCATTGCGGCTGCATAGAACAAAATCACAGCTAGAATGCATGTTAGGTGTGATCAATGTGAATAAAGAGCGTCCACTGAATGCATGCAAACCACTTTGATAAGCACATCCTCACCTCGACCATCGAGGTGTCATAGGTCTTCCGTGGCCCCTGCACCGGTGCCAGGCACTCCAAGCGTAGCCTCTTGACCTCAGCATCCATAATTTGACTGGTAGCGCTGCGCTTGTTGGATGCGCGGTACGGGTTTTTAATGTGCTCTATGTGAAGGTGCTCGAACATCTGGGTGGAGTAGTGTTCTGGAAGCCCAGTTCTAGTGATGGAGTCAATATAATGGCTTAGTAGGTGCATTTTGATGAACCTCCAATTGGATGTTTGATCATTAAAAGCCTTAACCAAGCCCTCGATCATCCTGCATGAGGGTAGGGGGAGAAGGAATGAGTCAAGTCAATGAGGATTAAATCATGCACACTAGACGACATATGGTCTGACTGTCAAGTTATACCAAGATTTGCAAGTAGAAGTTATAGGCTGGAATAGGTGTGTTTTTGGAGAGTACAACCCAAACCCTATATCTCCCTTATCTCTCTCCCTATATCCAACTCCAATTGCTTACCTTTCTGCCTTGTTCTTGAGCTCACGTAGCGAGTGTATGGTGTGCTCGCTCGTCCTTGTGCAATAGTTGTACCACTCGATGTAGGCCGCAATTGCATCAAGCTGCGCCTGTGGAACACGCTGTGGGAAATCTTTCACAAGGGCAAAACTTGTAGCACACTCCGATGCTCATAAGCTTGGTAGCTCGCACCTTTTGCAAAATACTCCCCACCTGGTAGACGCAAAAAAGGATTGCGGTTGTTCTCCTTTAGGTACTTGAGCCTCTCGTCCGCTTCTATCCTCTCAGTCATCGTTAGCTTTGCACGCAGTAGATCGACAATGTGCACCATTATCCCTAAGTCAGCTTGATGCATAATATCAGGCATGACACACAAATAGGGATTCCATATGGGTATTGACTCCCACCGCCAACCCCATAGAAAACATTTGACTGCGTGGGTCGATAGCGTTGACATGCCCTGTGGAAGCATTTTCCGCTGCACTAGTGTAGTTATAGCTCTCTGGATTAGGGGCAATCGTGGGGAAATCCGGTTTTTAAACATATTGGTCTCCTTGAGCGTAACCATGCATAACGAGCAAGGATGGTCCGTAGCGCCAGACTTTGTGCACGTCACCTTGCATGACTCAGGGTAGTCGCATGCATATGCGTACAGTGCTGGCCAAGCATTATAGGATGCACCACTCGGGTCATCCACCCTCACTCCAGTGTGAGATGCTTTTCTCAATGGCTCCATAACCAAAGTTAAGATGTGTTGGAACACCACCAACTTGTCTAAAGCATCGTACTCAGGGGTGTAATTGGGTAGAAGGGCCAATAGCACATGACCCCATGGCTGCCAACGATCATGCTTGTCGATGTTACCCAACGTGAGGTACACCGGATGGCCTTTAGCCTTTCCTCGCTGATCCATTGTTGTTTCATCACTCGATAGAATGAGTGCCGCCACAACACCCTCTCCATCAACCTTTTGGATCTCATTGTGCAACGTAAACCACCAATCTCCAGTTTCAGGAGTGGTGTACATATGAGTCTCACGAGGGATGCGAGGTGTGGGCTTTAGAACAAGCTTCTCCCCAACTTTTGGGTGGGTAAGAAGGTCTTTCAATGCTATGATAAAGTCACAGAAGAAAAACTTGAGAGTGGATTTGTCACCAACGCGCACTTGGCTGCGTTTCCAATTGCGATGGGGGTTTGGCACATGGTCATGAACGTATTTCTCAACGTCTCGCACTGTTTGAAAGGCCGTAAGCTCGTCAATCATTGCACCATCATGGTTTAAAATGCGTAATAAAGAGTCAATAGCTTTCGTAGACAACTTGCTGGTGAGGAGAAAATGCACAAAAGCGTCTCGAAAGTTGAATTCAGATGTGTTCTCAACGGGTCCTGGCCCCTCCCCACTCTCCTCACCGCCCACGCCCACATCCTCAGCAGACCGTTCTCGCCCGTCCGGTAGGTCCACCTGAGATTGGGGTGGAGGGATGCTAGACGGGAGTGGTGGACGGCGCGCCGTTGATTTGTCGAGTGGCACATGGCTGCTCAATCCTGGTTGTTCGGGATGGTAGATGTTTAGTCGCGGAGAGGGCGTGGATGCAGGGGCCGTGCGGGATACGAGAAAGGGAGAGGCCCTTGATGCTGCAGCGGCGGCATTTGCTGCATTTGTCCGACACCCGTCGCTGATTTGGTGATTGCGGAGCGGACCTCGCCCGCCAAATCCAGTCGCGCCACACCTAATGCAATCATATGGCATCCTGCAAGCCACATGCATGTAAAGGTGGGAGGGGCAGAGAGAGGGGGAATGCAGAGAGGGGAATGCAGAGAGGAGGAGAATGCAGAGAGAGGGGATGCAGAGAGGAGGAGGGAATGCAGAGAGAGGGGAATGCAGAGAGAGGGAATGAAGGAGGGAATGTAGAGAGGAGGGGAATGCAGAGAGAGGGGGAATGCAGAGAGAGGGGGAATGCAGGAGAGGAGGGGGAATGCAGAGAGAGAGGGGAATGCAGAGAGAGGGGGAATGCAGAGAGAGGGGGAATGCAGAGAGAGGGGGAATGCAGAGAGAGAGGGGAATGCAGAGAGAGGGGGAATGCAGAGAGGAGAGGAATGCAGAGAGAGGGGGAATGCAGAGAGGGGAGAGAGAGAGGGAATGCAGAGGAGGAGGAGGGAATGCAGAGAGGGGAGAGAGGAGAGGAATGCAGAGAGAGGGGGAATGCAGAGAGAGGAGGAGGAATGGAGGAGAGGAGGAGGGGAATGCAGAGGAGGAGAGGGGATGCAGAGAGAGGGGGAATGCAGAGAGAGGGAGGGAATGCAGAGAGGAGGAGAATGAGAGAGGAGGGGATGCAGAGAGAGGGGGGAATGCAGAGAGAGGAGGAAATGCAGAAGAGGGGGAATGCAGAGAGAGGGGGATGCAGAGAGAGGGGGAATGCAGAGAGGAGGAAGAGATGGAGGGGGGAATGCAGAGAGGAGGGAATGCAGAGAGGAGAGGATGCAGAGAGGGGGGAATGCAGAGAGAGGGGGAATGGAGAGAGGGGGAATGCAGAGAGGAGGGAATGCAGAGAGAGGGGAATGCAGAGAGGGGGGAATGCAGAGAGGAGGGAATGCAGAGAGGAGAGGATGCGAGAGAGGCAGAGAGAGGGGGAATGGAGAGAGAGGGGGGATGCAGAGAGGGGAGAATGCAGAGAGAGGGGAATGCAGAGAGAGGGGGAATGGAGAGAGAGGAGGAATGCAGAGAGGAGGGGAATGCAGAGAGGAGGGGAATGCAGAGATAGGGGAATGGAGAGAGAGGGGAATGGAGAGAGAGGGGGAATGGAGAGGAGAAGGGAAGCAGAGAGGAGGGGAATGCAGAGAGGAGGAAGCAGAGAGGAGGGGAATGGAGAGAGAGGGGGAATGCAGAGAGAGGGGGGAATGCGGTGAGGGTAGCGTTCTTGAATGCAAACATATGCACCAAGAGGGGGCATGTATGGATGCAGAGACGTGGAAATGACAAGGGGATGCGGCGGAGACAGACGAATGCGGCATGGCGTGTGCGACGGTTGGGGTGGCTGGGCTAGGCATAATGGGCGTGTGCAGGAGGCGGCGCAACGAGGGCGCCTGGGTGAAAGCGGGGTGGGAGAATGCGAGGGGGGAAAAGGGCGGCAAAGAGAGGGAACCAGGATGGGCGTAGACCACGTCAACGGGGGAAAGCGGCGGGATTGTGGCAAGAATGCGGCGGGGGTGCGGCGAGAATGCGGCAAAAATGCAGCGGGAATGCGGCGGGAAAGCGGCGGGAACGCAGCGGTAAAGTGGCGGGAATGCGGGAATGCGGCAAGATAGGGGATGGGCGTATCACGTGCAAAGAGCGGTTCCCGCGGGGAACACCAGCGGGAACACCGGCGCGGAATGCGGATGGCGGGAGTGTGGCGGGCCTGCAACGGCAAGAATGCGGGCGCTTGCAAGTGAAGCGAAAAGGGGAGGATGGGGAGCTGGGTTTGTGCGCGCAACGAGGGAATGAGCCGGGGAATGTGCGACGAGGGAATGCGCCGTAGCATTCCAAAGGCGGCGATGAATGCTACGGCGGGAATGCACTACGGGATAATGCGACTCGAGGCGCGTAGCTATGGAATCGGGCGGGCAAACGAGTGCGACGAGGCGGTGTGATTTGTTCGATTGCACAGCAATCTAGTGGTAGGGACGCCGTACTGAGCATGCTAGTCATCTAAAACTCACCTAAGGCGTCTTTATTGTAGATTCTCGATGCGCCCGCCACAACCTTCAGCGCAAGCGCCAACGAGCTCAGGGGGTGCAGTAGGCATAGGAGACGCACAGCATGTGAATCGATGGGTGAGGAATGGAGTTTCTGAGCACAGTATTAGAAACAACAGCAGAAACAACAGCTCAGGTTACTCAGTCTCGCCTAAGGTCGTCTTCTTCCGTGAAACTTGTGAACAAACGCAAGGTATTGATTGTGAACGGGAGAAACGAGGTTCCCTCGCCGTTCGCAAATTTCGCCAAACCACGTACTGTAGCGTGTGGATTCCCCCGCTTTTACCCGATGGTTGTGCGACAACGAAAGTGTGTGCGGCACGAAAGAATCTCTGACAAATGCGTCCGCGTCACGTAGCGTGCCGCGACAAACCATCCAATAAAACCGTTGCCATCGAATTGACAAGCCCAACTGCCAACAAAAAACGGACTACCATGTAATGCTTTACAAACATGTAGTAAACCATAAAGGTATGAGCCTAAACAAAATTAGAGACAATCAGTTATGGTAAGAAGCAAAATTAGAACCCAATTTCATTTAGATAACAATAACCATAACATGAGAAGAAGTGTAAAGTTTAATAATGTACTAATCGCAACGCAATCATAGTCGACTCGACATGGCCGCATTTCGCAACAGTAGGTGTACAGAGGTTATACAACGACGAGGATATAGGTCCAGACAGCCACACAATGGAATAGAAACAAAGGGGAAACACTGCTGCACGGTTTTCATGGGCAGAGGTGCAATATCCAGTGCGAACAAGCCCCCTCGACAAACACCCCGAACCATGTTGAAACAACCAAGCCTGGGACTCGCTCAAGCACGGAGAATTTGCCACGTACGCTGCCACACCTACCCAGAATCAACAGCACAGACCCTTCCAGGTCAAACCCACCCATCAACAGCCACGCAAACCACTACCTCCTGTCCGAGGCAAACGCCCCGGGCTGTACCTGCCTGACTCCGGATTTTTCCGATGTCATCTTCCCCTGTCCCAGCTTTCACTCCTCTCCCCTTCCCTTGCTCTCACTCTTCTCCCTTCCCCTGCTCTCACACCTCCCCCCTCCCCTGCTCTCACTCCTCTCCCCCTCCCCTGCTCTCACTCCTCTCCAACTGCCCTGCCCTCCCTCCTCTTCCCCGCCTGCTCTCACTCCCTCCTCCTCCCTGCTCTCACTCCCTCTCTCCCTCTCCTGCTCGCACTCCTCTCCCTCCCCTCCCTCTGCTCTCTTCTCCTTTCCCCTTTCTCCACTCTCACCCCTCTCCCCTTCCCTCGCTCTCCCACCTCACCCCTCGCCTGCTCTCACTCTTCTCCCTCACCCCTTTCCCCTTTCCCCTTCCGCTGCCCTGCTCTCCCTCCCGCGCTCACGCTGCTCTCCTTCCCGTGCGCTCACGTCGCTCTCCCTCCCGCGCGCTCATGCGGCTCTCCCTTCCGCGCGCTCACTCCGCTCTCCCTCCCGCGCGCTCACTCTGCTCTCCCTCCCGCGCGCTCACTCCGCTCTCCCTCCCGCGCTCACTCCGTGCTCCCTCCCGCGCGCTCACTCCGCTCTCCCTCCTGCGCGCTCACTCCGCTCTTCCTCCCCTGCCCTCGTTGCTTCCTCCCTGCTTTCGCCTCAGCCACTCTGTGCTATAGCGTCACTTGGTAGGTTCTGCCGCATCACTCCGTCCCTGCTATCGCGTCTCTCCGTCCCTGCTATCGCGTCTCTCCGTCCCTGCTGTCGCGTCTCGACGTCCCTGCTATCGCGTCTCTCCGTCCCTGTTATCACATCTCTCCGTCCCTGCTATTGGGTAACTGCCCTCCCTGCTATCGCGCCACGAGGTCGCTCCTATCGCATCCCACCATTGATCTGGGCCTCTATCGGGGCCTATCCATTGCAGCGGGAACAGCGGCGCTCTATCCCTGCTTTCACGTCACTCTCTCGATGCTCCCACGTCACTTCGTCCCCTCGGGATGAGTTATCAGCGGTTCGCAATGCTTAGCCGGTCGTCGCGGGATCTGGGTCATTATCGCTATCATTCCTTATGGCGCGCAGTTTCATCTAGGCTTGGCTACGTGCACTAGATACCTCGTATGCTGGCTTGTTTCTAGTCACTAGTCGGTCTCGCCCCGGGTCCCAATTTACAAAATTGATAGCAACTTTCCCTTAGCCGTTTGAAACTCAGAGAGCCAGGAGTTGGGCTGCTTGGGCGAAGGTGTTTGCTTGCCTTTTAACCAATCACGAGCCTCTTTTACAGCCACCGCGTCATTTTCAGTTTCATCCGGTGTATGGGGTTACCCACTTTTTTGCGCAGCGATATTGCTAGCAAAAAAAAATTCGCGCCTTGCAGCTTGTTAATAGCGCAGTGCGCCCATAGCCCCCAGGCTCTGCGGATCTTCTCAAGGGTAACCCAGCGGGTCACTCGACAGTATTATTGTAAGGAATTATTAATTCCTTACTGAGGCTTGCTACAGGGCGTACAATCGAACAGTCCCGAACCAGCGATAGGGTTCCAGACCTTTCAGTTCGAGCCTCCTGGGCCTTTCCGGACCTCGCTTCGACACTTTTCCCGAACCTTCCGATCCTACGTCTAGGATCACCCTAGGCTTTCTATATATTGTGTGTTCTTTCATGTTTATTGTCATTCACTCGTTCACAAATGCGCCATTGCCCTCCACGCTACTCGGCAGTCCCATTCATAACACTTGTTATTCTGAGCCACTTTCCTCACCTGCTGGGCTTCCGAGGGCAGAACGTTTTTTTTTTTTTTTTTGGAGAGCCATCCCCTCGAAGGCAGTTGTGTCCATCCTGACATGGCAAAGTTTTTGAAGAGTGTTTCCGGTATGCTGTTCCTTTCGCATATCGTTAAATGAGTTTTCGGTTGCAGTTTCGGAAAAATTGGCAAGCAGCAACGACGATTCGGATTGGTGTCCGAATGGAGCGAGGAGCTCGTCATGAGACGACAAGCTCGCGGCTATCCCCAGGCGAAGAGAATTTTGTCAGGAGCGCGTGTAGCAGACGTGGCTGCATGGTGAAGTGTAGCTGATGTCAAAGGGCTCGGCGTTTCCGGCAGGCGACACGCAAGTGAAGACGGGACTTCGGAGCTGTTCACAGACATGCGGTTGGAATTTTCGGCACGACCAAGATCTCACGTGCAACAAGTGGGGCTCAGGCACGGAGAAATCGGAGGGTGGCAAACCTTGGATTTTCGCGTGACCTGCCCGCCTGGAGGAGCAGTTTCGTCTGCCCTGGAGCTACTGTACAAGCTCAGCGAGAGCAGTTTCCCTGCATGGAAATTGTTTTCGTGGTCAGAAAATTACACTCCACGGTCAACGGAGGAGGACGAAGACCTACCCCGGGGTATTTACTTCAGTGTCTCCACGGAGTCACCGCAAGGGACCAACGGCAAAGAAATGAAGCAGTGGAAGAAGAACGACTGGGTACAACTAGTTATGAGTCAGCGGCAGACGGATCCCCCGACTGACTTGGCTGGGTCGCCCGATTTTCAGCATCTCCACCGGGTGGTAGTACGATACATGCTATCGACCGCTCTCGGACGAATAAAGGAGGATGAGCTTGCGTATCACCCAATGCTGGTGGATCGATGAAGAAATGTTTTTGGCGCTACACGACAGGCGAACGATTTGTGAAAATCGGATGCTGAACAGTGGGAGGCGCATGAAGCTGGTTAAAGAAAATAGCGAAGGTTTTTGCGACGGAGATCGGACAGTACGCGGAGCTCGAGTCCAAAACTAATGGCGAGGATGTGTCGCTGCAATCGACGGGGTTGCGAGCTTTTCGAACAAACGTGTGCGGTACTATTTGGAGAACGACAAATGTGGGCGCTGGGTGAACAGTGGCCTACGGGGGTTTAATCGTGAAGCAGCAGTGGAAGAAATTTTGAAGCAGTTTGGAGCAGATTTTTGTGGAGACGATTTTTTTCAGGGAGGGGAAGGAGAATCCCTCACGTAAGCTGCAAAGCGGTTGCCCGCAAATTAGACTGATTAATTCGCCCAACTACAATAGCGTTTGCGCTTACCAGAGTACGGGCACACGGCGGATTCACCCCTGCTCTGAAGTGTATTCATCAAATGGAGCGGGTTACTGCTGCAGTGGGAAACGCGTGTTGTCGTCACGGAAAATTTGGAGTCACGCAAGAGTCTTAAAGGATTATTCCTGAGATGCTGGGCTATAATTGAAGGTTCGGCTGCGAGGACTCA